AGGAAGAAGAAGAAGAAGAAGAAGAAGAAGAAGAAGAAGAAGATCTCTCTCTCTCTCTCTCTCTCTCTCTCTCTCTCTCTCTCTCTCTCTCTCTCCTACTACTACTACTACTAACCCACTTACCTTGGTGCGACAGCGCGATGGGTGAAGTGAGGCGTCGGGCGTCGGGCGTCGGGCGGCGGGCGTTGGTGGAGCTCCCGTCGAAGCAGGGCGTCGGATGGGAAGGGTCACGGGGGAGGGGACGAGGGCCGGTGGTTCCCGCCCTCAGGGATTCGAAATCGCGGCCCATCTGGGCCGTCAATCATGGAGATCGACGACGAACATGGGCCTCAATTTCGAATTCTTGAAATCGGGCCTACCGGCCGGTTTTTTTTTTAACTTTGTTGGCTTGGACGGCCTCCTTTTGGGGGAAGAAGGTCCCCCGCGTCGAAAACGGCCGAACCCCCTCCCCTTCTGGGATGCGCTGGGGTCGCCCGGTGGCCAACCAGGCGGCCCGGGCCCCCCCTCAGGCGACCACCAGGTTGCCGAGCGCCCGGGGACCAGCCTAGGTAAAAAGCAAGGATTCACCTTGAAGCCCCTTCACATGTGGGTTCAGGGTAGGCTGTGAATGGAAGTGCTGATCCGGTTGGGACTGTCTGGGCATGAAAAGATATCCACACCTCGGCTAGCACAGTAATTGAACTCTTTGTGCCCTGTGACATGGCACATTTTATCACTTGCTTGCCTGCCACTTGTGCCTATGATGACTTGAAAGTTCAATCATGTTTTTTTTTTTTGCATATCACTGATTCCTCCCTCTGCTATGTCCTGTAATGTGCAGTTGATGGAAGCAGTCCTGGGAAGGGTGCTAGCAATTGGCATTGCTTTCTCTGCTGTCTTAGCACATGATGATGTTGCACGAGTCGCTGGTAAGTGAACCAGACATCGGTTGGCTTCTCTTAACAACCCTCAGATCCATCTCACGTGTCTCTGGATATTTGAATCTTTCAGTAATCTCTCCCAAATTGATTTTGTCTTCCCGTCTGCTATGTCCTGGGGGACGGATGCATGTCCTGACAGTCCTGTGGCAGCACAGGGGTAGTGAATGGAGTGACAGGACATAGCAGAGGGTTGTTAAGAGAAGGCATGCGATCTGCGCTGTTCTTGTGCATAGACGGCGTAGATCGTGGGAGGATCTGCAATCTGGGCCTTCTGTTGTGTGAACGGCTCGATTGGCTGGGTACATTTTGAAAACTGGTACCCTTTCCCGGTAGTAGGCCCTGAGGCGGCACAGGGGTAGACCTACTGGCCTTTTGATTTTGGGTGGACTCCACCTAGGTGTAGCCAAACCAGGAGGGCCACTAGGCTGCTTGCTGCCCCTTACAGCCCTCCCACCCGCCTTGTTCTGGCACCCTCCTGCCCACCACCTCATGCTGACTGACACTGGATGCGCCTTCTTCCCGCTTGCTGCCGCCTCCTGCCTTGCTGACTCCTCCTGTTTCACACCTCTAGTTAGTGACACACACACACACACACACACACACACACACACAC